ATATATATATACATACATATATACATACATACATACATATATACACATACACACATATATACACATACACACATATATATATACACATATATACATATATACACATATATATATACATACATATATATACATACATACATATACATACACACATATACACGTATATATACATATACATATATACACGTATATATACATACATAACACATATATACATATATATATACATATATATATATATATGTATGTATATATATATACACGTGTGTGTGTGTGTGTGTATATATATATATATATATATATATATATATATAGACTAATGACATGTTACTACAAAAATATGTAATGCAAAAATTTATATTAACGATGACTTAATTACATTTTAAATTTAATTATTAATGCATTTCAGTGCTATCATATCACTAAAATAACTTTTGTAGCCTTATCAATGACCTTGGTATTTTTAATATTCATGATAATGACGCAATATGATACTAAAGCCGCACAATTTAAAATTTAAATTAGAAATAACACAATGAGATTTACATAAGAAAAAAAAAAGAATGTTCATGGTGGATACTGACTGAGATTCCACAACCTACCGTACGATCCACCAATACCCATTACCAAACGCCTCTACAGTAATATAAATGTGTACGAAACACTACTTCTCTGAATTTATCCACGGAAACTATTTAAATCGTTATTGTAAAAGCGATTCTTTCTTGGTCGACGAGTTGACAGCAACAAAGACATTCAACTGCCTTGACGGCCGCGTTCAATAAGGCCACATCCACACGACACTGGGTTGGCTGACATTACGAAAGTACCCGGATGGATCCGTGGGGAAACTACGTCATTGTTCACCGCCGGACGCTCTTTGGATTTTAGAATGGATGAACTCATTTAAATTAAACATAAATTTACAGGTACGTGTATTATTTGATTTAAATATCACATTTGATTGCTGCAGGTGATTTTTGGAGAGCGCGTTGTGTGGTTTGCGTTTATTGCGTGGCACGAAATTGAAAACACCGGGTTTCGCAATGAGTCTTTCAGCGACGTTGCCTTCTCGGCCAAGGCACCGGTGAATTTCAAATACCGTGCCCCTCCTTTCGACCTGTTTTCGATTAAAATCGAAATTTGGCTAATTAAATTTAGTACTGTTGTCTTGTTTATGTTTGTGAGGGGACACACCACATATATCAACATCTTCTTGATTCACAGACAGGCTTCTCGAAGTGCGTGACCGTGTTCATGCCGCGTTCCATCGGTATTGTTAAGTTTCGCCGTTACCATGGCGTTTGTAGCTACAACACAGCGCTCTTTAAATCAGTCCTAACTTCTCGCGCCAACAAAAAAGATGTCTAGCCAGTTAGATTTCACTGACAAGTATTTCACATTCTTTTAATACCACTACAAATAAATTCATTCATAGTGTTTTGTGTATAAATAACGTGCGGCAGAGGCCTATCTCACACGCGAAGCCTTTAGCCGAGCCGATCAGTGGTTCCCAACCCTGGTCCTGGAGGCACCCCAACACTGCTCGTTTTGCATGTCTCCTTAATCAAACACACCTGATTCAGGTCATCAGCTCATTAGTAGAGACTTCAAGACCTGAAATTGGTGTGTCAGAGAAAGGAGACATGCAAAACGAGCAGTGTTGGTGGCTCCAGGACCAGGGTTGGGAACCACTGCGTTAGATAACAGTTGGCGGACGTGCGGAGAGAGTGTGTACTACAGGATCATTTCCTCATGCAAAATCACAGACGGAACCGCCTCTATAGTTGTTGAACTGTGTTTTAAGTGTTAGGTCTGACGACCTAATCGAAGGTACACACAGTTTACTGAGGTTTTATTGTGGAACGTGTTGGTGTGACAGTTTACTGTAAACTATAGCTATCGTGAATTAGCCGAGGCCACGGGCCCATGCTGGCGCTCAGCTCAATAGATCAACACACACCGGCTAGTACACCAACAAACATTTAGCTTATTCGATCAAATCTTGGTTGGCCGTTCACAAGGAAAGAAATATGTACAATTTTAGATGTTGTTTTGCGTCATTAGGGTAGACTAGTGTGTTTGGAGTTCAACGTTCACTTATATTTGTTGTACTTTCACTTTGGCGCGATGTCTTCTCGGGCATTTAAAGTAACTGCTTGTCTTCTTAGACGCTTTATTAGTGATATTTAGTCTTTTTGCAATGTATTTACTTGTTCCGAAGTTATGTGGCTATATCCTTTTATGAAGGGTGGATGTGGTTTTTAGATTGAAAAATATAAATTTTAAACTTAAATGGCTGGAAGGAATACTATTTATTTAATGTCCCGAAAGGCAGAATTTTTAATAAAAAATGGCGTTACTGTAAACATAGTAACGAAAATCTATAAAATGGTATAATTATCAAATATCCGTGTAACTTAATTAGCAAATATCCGTGTTGTTTACATTGACCCCGTGAACAACGATTGATGTTTATTTTATGTTATTATTCTGACCTGTTTAGCTAAATAATTTGTTGTGACATTATGTTGATGAATATATCCGTTTGTGTTTAAAACTATATATTTTATTAGAGGAAGGGAAAGTCAGATGCAGTTTACACTATAGACATCTTCACTTCTGAGGAGCAAAGCAACTTTGTGCTAGAGTTTTGCTTTCCTCTCAGGTACCTGTTGCATTTGACACTAAGATTAGCTTTACCTGAACCTGTGCTTTTAAAACCACTTCACATGCAAATGAAAAGTCTGTCTGTCTGTCTGTCTGTCTTGTCAAAAAGGATTGAGTTGACACGCATGTCTTTTTTTCCACAGAAAATGAATAATGACCATAGTTGACAAACCTCCAGAGAAACCTGACCTGGAGTCAGTGCGGTGCAAGCACTCCAGCTCCCTGACACCTTTCTCCTCCAGAGATATGGAGCGCAGTAGCTCGAGCTGGAGTGTTGGCGTTTCTGCCACTGAGCTTTCAAGGGCCAAGACTGCCTGTATGGCCCCGACCATTGGAGTGACTGTGAACAGTAGTAATAACACAGCACTTCAAGTCGAAAGGCCCAGAGAGCAAGGCGAGTGCTTTTCTTTACTGTTGATGTTTAAAGGTTGTTGTATCATCACTTACTTTTAAAGTACAACAGTAGGTTGTATTGTATTGTTTGTGTAATATATGTCTGTTTTTCTTTTTTGGACCATACAGTGGTCATGACCAGTGGGGATGGCATTGCTCTTCCTCAGAAAGTCCTGTTTTCCCCAGACCGGCTTTGCTTGAAATGGAACCAGGGCCACCGTGTTGGAGCAGGTCTCCATAACCTGGGCAACACATGTTTCCTGAACTCTACCCTGCAGTGTCTGACCTACACGGCTCCCCTTGCCAACTACATGCTGACCAGAGAGCATTCCAAAACATGTAAGTGTGCAAGATTTTTGCAACATTGCACATAATGCTTGGTAGGGCGTGCTTTCACATTGAGCAGCATTAACTACAAAGAGCCGTTGTTCACTGACGAGCTGCGCAAAAAATCACGTGAATATGAACGTGGTTTGGCGCAACTCGTCAGTGAACAACAGCTCTGTGTAGTTAATGCTGCTCAATGTGAAAGCCCGCAGGTGATGGAGATTTACCGCTGATTACAGAACCGTCTTTACTGACAAGATGCGCATTAAATATCACATGCGATTTATCGTGCAGCCCTAATGCTTGGCATGGCTTTGTTCTAACAATGTACATTCATTCTCTTTACATGCAGGTCATGAGCCGGGGTTTTGCATGATGTGTACCATGCAAAATCACATCATCCAAGTGTTCGCCAACTCTGGAAATGTCATTAAGCCTATCAGTGTGCTTAATGAGCTAAAACGTGAGTGCTCAGTTTAAGATGTAACATTTGCTTAAAAATCGTGACAAAATTACAACTTACCCCGCTATACTAGTAATATAACACTCAAGTGCTACATAAACCCTTTTAGTGCTAGATAAGAGTTGAGGGTTTTGACAAGATAATTATTAAGGTTAAACCTTGAAGTTTGTATAAAAACAAGCAACACAGCCACAGTGCTTTTTTGCTGGAGTTAAGCGATAAAGAATGGTCCAGGATGATTTATAACCTGGACCACTGATCTTTTGTTCTTATCCTCAGGGATTGGAAAGCATTTCAGATTTGGAAGTCAAGAAGATGCTCATGAGTTCTTGAGGTACACAGTGGATGCTATGCAAAAGTCCTGCCTGCCTGGAAACAAGTGAGTTCCCACAATGCAGTTTTGTTTGCCAGTTTACTAGCATTATAAGGCAAGAAATAAACATTTCTTCATTCATCAGTGCATTAACTGTAATGACTGCAAACTTATATCCAGTCTAATACTTCATTATTTTGATTAATTGTCAGATTGGACAGGCAGACTCAGGCAACCACTTTTGTACATCAGATATTTGGGGGTTATCTGAGATCCAGAGGTAGGTCATACGATTTGTGTTTGTTTTGATTTGGTTTAAGGTTAATTTTATTCTTTCTGAGTTGCACATATTGTCTATAAAAAGACACCTTTAAATTTAGTGTCTTGAAGTTTGATTTATTTTATATGTATGTTTTATAGAATTTGTGCAATGATGGAATATTTAATCTGTGCTCCAGATACATCTGTTGGTACATTAATGCACATTTCTTTTTCACAGTCAAATGTTTGAATTGCAAAGCAGTTTCTGATACATTTGACCCATTCCTGGATATTTCACTGGAGATAAAGGTGACCAAATGTTTTCTTGACAAATTTATCTTACAGCTGAAGCAAGTAATTTTTAACGTGGCTACAATAGTGATAACTTTTTGAATGTTTATTTGCAGACGGCTCAGACACTCAGTAAGGCTTTTGAGCAATTTGTTAAGCCTGAGCAACTTGATGGGGACAATGCTTATAAATGCTCCAAGTAAGTTTTCCGTGCATATTAACACCACATCGTTTTACCCAAATTTAATTGTGTGTACAGTTACCATGCATTTGAAGTCATGCATTGACCACTCTTGACAAGGGCCTTCTTTCAGTTGTAACCTGTTTTATGACTTGTTTCTTCTAAATAGAATAGTGCATTTAGAGACCAAATCATGTGTCCATGTGGAATTGTTTTATTTTTTTTATTTTCACTTTCACTCAAGCTTATAGTAATATTCTTTTGTCTTGGCAGATGTAAGAAAATGGTTACCGCCTCAAAGAGATTCACCATACATCGCAGTTCTAATGTTCTCACCATCTCATTAAAGCGGTTTACCAACTTCAGTGGAGGAAAAAGTACAAAGGTAAACTGCATAAAGGTCATAAGACAAAAGTTAATTTTATAGCTGCATGCTAAGATACTGGATGAACTGGTGTGACCAGATCAATCATTCATATTTTTGAGATGTTGTCTTGTTGCAGGACCTGTAATAGGGCTAGGTCAATGTGCTTAAATGTATTAAATAAATTTTTAACAGCATTAAAATGTCATCAGTTAATGCATTAATTTTGGCAGCCTTAAATATGATTATTCTTAATCCTTCACAGGATGTGAGATACACAGAGTATCTAGATTTGTGCCCATTCATGTCTCAGTCACATGGGGACCCACAAATCTATGCTCTGTATGCTGTGCTGGTTCATTCTGGCTTCAGTTGCCATGCTGGACACTATTACTGCTACATTAAGGTAAGTCATCAAGTACAGACCTGCATCCTCTTTATTATGTGCTTACAACATAATATATGTATGATTAATTTGATCCTCTATTTCAGGCTAGCAATGGGCAGTGGTATCAGATGAACGACTCATCGGTATCTCTCAGCGACATAAGAACAGTGCTTAATCAGCAAGCTTATTTGCTGTTCTACATCAGGTAAAGGTCTTAATTCACTTCCCATGACTTAAATGGGTAATTTGAGTTTTTGGCACTAAGGGTGAGTCTCATCAGTAAAACGCTTATTTTAATTTAGGTCACCTGATGCAAAAAATGGAAGTGATTTTAGCCAGATGAATCATACTCCAGGCCAGTCATCTCCTCGACCATCCATTCCAGTCAAGATGAATGGGCCTCAGTACACCTCCACATCCTTCATTGGCCCTCAGCTGCCACCTCATATGCTAAAGGTACTGCAAGACAATAACACATTCAAACAAATTGCAATGGTTCAGCAAATTAGCCTTAAAGCTAAGCTAGGTTTGCTGCTTCTCTTCACCTTTTCACTCTATGTGTACTTTGCAGAACTCGTCGTACATAAACGGGAATGGTTCTTCAAAGGAATACCATGGTGGCTCCAAACCCAACAGAAGTTTCTGTGGTGTGACCAAATTAGGCTCTGGCCTATCTCATACGTCCTCTTCTGCATCCGCATCCTCTTCTACTTCACTTGTTCGGACCGTGGGCATTCCTGACTCATCCAAGAGGCCGAAGTTGACTTTTATCATTGGTCAGAACAAACCTGTGAGACCTACTCGTACCCAGTCAAGCCCTAACTGCTCTTTATCTTCAGCCTCTCACCCTCAGCCCACATCTTCTAGCACCTCAGTGTCTACCTCAGGCTTCTCACAGGTCAATGGAACTCACACTCGAGCTTCTTTCTTGGTTCCTTATGGTCCGGAATCATCTGAGGAATCCGACCAAGAGGCTGGAGCCATGGAGAATGGATCAGTTAAGCCTTATCTTGCTCCTAAGGTAACCAATGAGAATGGGGTAAAGGATGACACCCAGTCCCACAATTCCAGTTCACTGCCTCGGCTTACCCCGAAGACAAATGGATCTAATGGCTTTCCAGATTTACATGTGCGTGAAAATGGATCAGGACCTACCCACAAATCCCAGAATGGCCTTCCCAAAGCCAATGGTTTTAATCATGCTGATAAGGTACATACTTCAAATTAGGGCTGCACGATTAATTGAAATTAAATCGCGATTAGGCAGAAGCTGTGATTGCCATGCGTATTTTTCAGTGAAGCACGGTTCTGTGATCAGCAGTAAATCTCCAT